TCACACTTTCATCGGGTGTATTATATTCTTCTCCTCAAGCAATTTCCGGCTCAAATTGACAAAGAACAGCCATACTTCCATAGCGAAATTTGGCTGATTCAGCTCCAGCTATTCAACAAGTTCCACTATCTGACGTCATCACACCTCATTCATCCCAAGCCATCAAATCCGCGATATTCCACAGGGAGCCCAGCTTAAGTTATTTCGCAACTTTGACTGACGATATCACCCCAAAAAAGCATTTCATGGAATTTTCATTTCGATTTTCAAAATCAACAAGRTTTGATGTACATTTTAAGCTATGATGTGTCTGGCACCTCAGAGTCCCTTTAATGTACCTTTAGAATGCATTGGTTCTAAGACAGTCATTTACAATTCTCAGCAATCGGTGTCTGTTCCATGCTGTATACCCCCTTTTGAAAAGTGGGTAGGGGGGGAGGGGGCCGACGGACCTTTTAGGGTCGACGAAAATGAGACCTCGCGTACCTTTTACGGATCTCCGGCTGACTCCGTACCTTTTAGGGTCAGATTTGTTCGTTTTGAAAAATATCAAACGTCATACAAGAATGTAATGGTTGGAAGCGTCGTCATTTTAAATGTGGTCGTACCTTTTAGGATCTGAAATCAGCATCTCAGTTAATTTATGCGTACCTTTTAGGGTCATTTTCAAAACCGTCCGTCGAGTCCCCCTACCCACGTTTCAAGAGTCCTCCCCTTCCCCCGGGCTGTATATTAAAAACACATTTTAGCTTGCCCAACATAGGAACAGTAACTATAGGGAGTCGGTGCTACAGTAACGACAATGAATGCTGGATCAATATATCCTTGGCCAACTGGTGCGACTAACAGACAAGCCTTTTACTTGCTATCGCATGGAAGCCCTTGCTATCGGGAGACAGAACTACAGGTAAAACCGTAATTCCTAAAACCTGTCGGGGAAAAGACACCCACGACGTTTACCTTTAAGAGAGGGAAATTCCTTCGGGGTGATTTACTCGAGATCGGCTAACCTTATAAGGATTATCTGTGGGCTGGTAACTTCTAAACCAATCGAAAACTATGATACACCTACACCTGGAATACACCTATTTCTAGACTGCGAGAAGTCCCTCTATTTCCCTTGGTCACTGTCCGTTTGTCGGTCCGTGTCGATTGGCCGAGAAAGATTGGTTACGACGGAGACTTTTGACTCGTAAACAATCTTCCTCGGCCAACCGACACGGACAGACAGACGGACAGTGAGGAARAGAAATAGAGCGACTGCTCGCAGTCTAACCTATTTCAAAAAACGTTGACGCTCCGACATCTGAAACTAAACGGAATTGTTGTGCTTTCATCAACAGTGTTTTCTAAGTAAAATGCGAAAAATCACATTTCTAACTTATTAGTCGTGCTTCATATCATTCCAATCTAAAAGGAAACTACGTTGTTCAGTCTCGGATTTCAGATCTCCCGGACCGATAACGTTTTTCGAATCGGGTGTATACAACTATTTCAGAATTAAAATGTTGGCGAAGGTTCTGTTGCAGGTTGCTTACCAAGCCTCGTAAAATGTATTATATTCATATGTGAAATAATGTCATCACAGAAAAAATATGCCGGTAAAATGTGCAGTAAGGGTTTAGGAAAATTTCGTGTTGTGATCCAGTTTGCCCCCGATTTCATTTACATCACCATTTTTTTCTTTTAGAAATAGCTGTATATTATTGAGAAAATATCGTTTAAGTTCGTGCAAGAGCGGTTTTCACGAGTGAGAAACCATACGGCAAATTCGTAGCCGTACCTTAACTACGCGTTTTGATTGGATGAATTACCGGATGAAAGACAATGGGAAGCCATTTCAATGCTACGGTATTTTGTATCGTGAACGTGCTGTAAGTCAGTACCGTATGTTTCCAAGTCATACGAAACCGCTCTAATAATGAAATAGTAGTTTCTGGAATAATTTTTTATCGAGTTCGTTCGACCTCCAGCGTGATCGCACCAAGACTTATTCAATTCACTACTGGCCTGGTATACACTAGGTGTTTAGAGTTTCCAGATCGTTCTTGGTCATCAACCATCCATAGAATCAGTATTGATTGGTTCGTTTTGTTATCGATGTTCATATATAGCGGTGGAATGTCCGAGAAGTATTTTCCTGAGGCACTCAAATTACTGGTGTTATCTATAAAGTAGGAAACAGCCTACTGCGATGTTAAAGAATTTCATTAGGGTAATAGATTAGGGCGCTTATCTCGACTTAATACTCATTTGCTTAATCGGTTTACATCAAGGAAATAACAATTATCCTCTCTCAACGACAGTCGTCGCGACCGCTTGAAAGCATAATATTGGAGCGCGCAGAAATGACACCGCGTTCGCTTGACTGACTTGTGGTGGGGGAATTGCGGTAACTATCATGAAAGTCAAAGAGGCTTGAGCCCGATTTTCTAGTATCGCATGACTTTGTTCCAGATGACTGCAGTAACTTGTGCTTTTGTCTGACAGATGTCTCGATGGTACTACATCTGATTCACTCTCAAGATGCGAAGTGTTGGCGGATTCTTTCGTATCTTTGCAGCTCGTGTTCTGGTACAGAAGGGGTTATTCCCTTCAGTGCTTCTAGGAAATCTTCTTCGATTACTAGAATGTCGCTATCGATTTCTTCGTCAATACCTGGAATAATAATATACATTGCAAATGAATATCTAGATAGGAATATGGTTTTAGTGGAGAGGGAGTTGCCGAGTTTTATATAGTGGGAGGACGGGGTCGAAACCTGACAATCTACAAAACGATGCAAAGAATATCTCCTTACGCACTCTCTATTTTCCCGAGTGATTTCTGTTTATTCGGCCAAAATCGGGGACCATTTGTCGAGCTCAATGGTCTTATACAATTATCTGACATATATTAAAAATGTCCATTTTATTCAGCCTGGTCAGTAGCTGTCCGGTTTGCCTAGTCCTCGCCCTAGATAAACAATGTTGCAAAGAAGGTAGTCTCACTTTAGAATTGATCTTGGATGCGAGGCGAACAGGAAAATACAAAAGAAATGCCACAAATTCCATCGAGATAAAGTGGGGTTAGCCTGGCATCCAAAATAAACGTGAAAAGGGTCCGCCAGAACATGTTAAATGCGCGCATAGGAATAACCACTAACCCTGATGTTCGTGTAAGCATCTTTTGATGGAACGGAGCATGGCATCACTGCACAATGCATACAGGTCGGCACCGGTGAAGTTTAGAGGACAGTGTTTGCTGATGCTTTCTAAATCACAATCTGAACTCAATTCAAACCTGGTTGTTGAAAAAGTAAAATAAAGTGTTAAAACCCAGACGTTATAGAGTAAGACAGCACTAGAGTGCATACCATTATTATATGCGGTGAAAAAGTTAGCAAAACTGTACAAATTTGTGTAACGTTTTGTAGGTCCAAGGTCTACTGAGGTCTGCTGAACTTACTAATTTGTGCAAATTTAATTGGCAATTTCTCACAAATTTGTTCACGAATATATGGTATGCACTCTACTGAAAGGACCACCAGAGTTCTTTCGACTTACTTGGAAGTCAAAGCTTTGAGAATCTTCATCTGAGATTCATGATCTTCGCTTATGCCGAGGTACAGCAGTTTGTCAAAACGACCAGGCCTTAAGAGGGCGGGGTCAAGGAGATCAGGTCTGTTGGTAGCACCAATGACAAAGACATCACATGACTTGTGAAGTCCATCTAGTTCTGCTAGTAGCTGGGAGACCACTCTAAAGCAGCGCGAGACAACAATGTTAATAGGAGCTTATAAGATTTGCTCCATCACGTGAAGGCAGCCATGACAGAAGGCAAAACAGTGGAGTCTTTTCGCCCTGGGAAACTGAATTCGTTCTCCAGTAAACCAGATTAGAACAGATTTTTAAATTGTTCCTGCCTCCTGTCAAGGCTGCCATCACATGATGGTGCAAAGCCTCTA